GTAGTATATTATAATTAGCAAGCACTTTCACATTTGATTCCAATAACAATTTTATGAAGTTGATATGATATTGTATGATATTGTTAAGTGTATCTTTGGTCTTCCTTTCCATTTTCTGGCATACAACTCCTAAAATCCTTGAAATCTTCAAGGCAACAAAGGTCATTTTATCTGTTGACTAGCAACCTCTAGGTAGTTTCAGTGTGGAAAGTGGTCACTTGGAACAATTAAGGCAGGATTAGAGGGTTGTAACTTTTACCCTTCCTCTCCAGTCCCTGGAGGAGGAAGAGGGACAGAAGGTTAAGTTGATCACCAAGGACCAATGATTTGATCAATCATGCATATGTAATTAAGCCTCAATAAAAACCAAAAAGGACAGTTTGAAGAGCTTCTGGATAGCCGAACATGGGTAAGGTCCTGAAGGGTGGTACACAGGAGAGGGAAAGGAAATGCCATATCTCTTCCCACATGCACTTCCCTATGTATCTCTTTCATCTAGTATTCTGTATCCTTTGATTATTTTTTCACCTGCAATTTACTAAATATTGTGTGTCTTTAAATGTTTTTATTGAATTTTAAGTTTTTATGTTTTATACAAATTACATGTATTTCATATATACAGATTTAAGAACATAGTGATACTTCCCACACTACCTTTCCTCCCACCCATACTCCCACCTTTCTTCCTCCTCTGTTTCCCATTCCTACACTTAATTGTCACAAAGATCTCTTTTCAGTTTACTTTATACTCATAAGATTAGCCCAACACTAAGTAAAGAGTTCAACAAATAGTATGAAGAAAAAAAAAAAAAACACTGTTCCTCAACAGTAGAGGCAAGGGCTATAAATGATCATCAAATTTCAAAATGTCAATTTCACTTCAATACATTACATTTAAGGTACTCTATTAGTTACCTCAGATGAGGGAAAGCATATGATATCTGTCTTTTTGGGACTGGCCTATTTCACTAAGTATAATGGTTTCCAGTTGCATCCATTTTGTTGCAAAAGTCAGGCCCGCGCACGCACGAATGAGAGAGAAAAAGAGAGAGGGAGATTATCACTGAGTAGTACTGCATAGTTTATATATACCATAATTTCTTTATCCAGACATCAGTTGATGGACATCTGGGTTGATTCCATAACTTAGCTATTGTGAATTGAGCTGCAATGAACAGGGGGGTACAGATGACTGTTTCATTTGGGGATTTCATTTTGCTTGAATATTCTTTATAATAAAAAAGTAAATGCAAATAGTGTTTCTCTGAGTTGTGTGAGCTGTTCTAGCAAATTATTGCAAATAAGGGGTCCTGGTAACCTGATTTATAGCTTATAGAAGCGAATGTAAAATAACTTGGGGCTTGCAATTGGCATCTGAATTGGGGGGGCAGTCTTGGGGACTGAACCCTCCATCTGTGGTATCTGACTATCTCAGAGTAGACAGTATCAGAATTCAATTGAATTAGAGGACATCTAACTGATGTCTAATCCAGAATTGGTTACTTGCTTAGTGTGTGTGAGAGCATAAGAGAGCATTCTGTATTGTGAGAATATAAGAGAAACTGAGTTGATTTTTCCATTATGCACAGTTACGTTGACCTTCAAGACAGCTCAGTCAAAATGTAAATCATTGTTTTATTGCATTTAATTTATGCAGTGAACATTCTTTACTCCATCCCTTATTCCTGTCATTAATGTAGACAGTTTCATTTTTCTACTTTGTGTATTCACTTCTTTAAATTTTAAAGAATGAATTTGTTAATAATCAGAAACAATAAAGATTTTCTTCACTGTGTTAGAACTGAATTAGCTTCTAAGGGAGTGTTAATTCTATTCCCCAAATCCATAATCGTAATGAGTTTTCTTCAGTACTAAATATAAAATATCTATATTACTGAATAAGACATAAGAATGGTTAGAAAAGTAATTACAGATTATCTTAACATGTCTGGAGCTAATAATAAGGAATCAACTCTTACTACCCCATCCAGCAATGTGAGAACGGTAGCATGCTAATGAAGCCTGCAGAACATAGAATGTCAGTTCCTTGGATTTTCAAGTGTAAGCAAAGTACAATTATTAAGTACACAAATATATTTTATTCATATATATTTATTAATCAATAATAGGATAGTATTAACACCCTCATAAAAGAGAAATAAAACAATCGAAGCTGAATATTATGCAATGCTCAAGAGAATTCTTAAGAGTAGAAACTTTCATGAGAATGATAAACCTCTCTGAAGTGAACAAGAATAGTCAACATCTGTGTCATAGTTAGATATAATCTCATTTCTTATATACTGTCTCCGAGTTTCAAGCTATTTCTCCCTTATATGCAGTGATGGGAAACAGTGATGAATGAGGCTAAGGGATGAGATGAGTGTAAAAGTTTCACACATTAATTGTAGCCCAACCACATCCACGTAGCTTCATCAAAATGCTACCTATCTGGGGCCAGCACTGTGGTATAGTAGGTTAAGCCGCCACATGCAGTGCCCACATCCCATATGGGCACCAGTTCATGTCCTGGCTGCTCTACTTCTGATCCAGCTCTCTGCTATGGCCTGGAAAAGCAGTAGAGGATAGCCCAAGTCCTTGGGCTCCTGCACCCACGTGGGAAACCTGGAAGAAGCTCCTGGCTCCTGGCTTTGGATCAGCGCAGCTCTGGTTGTTGCAGCCAACTGGGGAGTGAATCAGCAGATGGAAGACTCTCTCTCTCTCTCTCTCTCCGTCTCCTTCTCTGTGGAGAGCAGCCCGGACTTAGACTAAGTTACTGGAATTAAGACTTATTCTATGCATCTGCTCTCCCACAATATGGCGCTGGGAGAGAAGAAAACAGCTTCTACACAGCTGCCTCCAGTTCAGCCAATAAACTGTAGGACTTGCTCCTGATTGGAGGAGAGCAGCGTACTCGGCGTGTGGGCAGCCGAGTTAGGATTGGCGGAGGAGGACTATAAAGGAGGAGAGAGACGGCATGCACCAGGAACATCTAAGGGGAACATCTAAGGGGAACACCTGTGCAGCCCCCGAGAGAGCCGGCTGGCGGTGTGCCGCTCCCCTGCGGAAGTGGGGAATGTGGCCAGGGGGAACTGCCCTTCCACGGAGGTGGAAGGGACAGTAGCCAACCCGGGAAGAACCAGCAGCAAACCCGGGGAGGGCCGAGCAGACAAAAGAACAGCGCAGGGTCCTGTGTCATTCCTCCACGAAGAGGGGGAGCGACATTCTCTCTGTGTGTAACTCTGACTTTCAAATTAATAAATAAATCTTTAAAAAATGCTCCATATCTAAGATTTTTGGAGAGCAGGAATGACCAGCATTTTGTGGATCAAGGAGTTCTTACTCATCTCAATCTCTTACTTTCTTTACTAGATCACCTCTTGGCTAGCATCAGATATTAACAGCACTTTGTGTTTAATTCAGATTTAAACAATCAAAACTGTTTAACATCCATTTACTGTTTACACATAAGGTGTATTCAAAATGATACTGCTAATGATATTAGTGAATTATTGATCTGATGTTTTACCAGGCTGTTTGACAGGTCACGTGTTTCTAATTAAATGTTCATTGATTCTTGAGAAACAGTGTTAAAATGAACAAGGATTAGATATGAAAGCTCTGCACACAGCACACAAATATAAATATAAAAGTTAGTGTACAGTAAGTTATTTTAAAGAGTTTTAATATAGATTTTTTGCATATTCTTTCCCCATTATAAAAAGCAGATTCCTTTTAAAGTCAGGTAGAAGCTAGTGTTTCTTACCTAGAATATTTATTAGACAACCACATGCCTAACAATTTAAAAATGTAACAAGCAATATAATACAGTAGACAAGACCTTAGATTCTAAAGTCAGTCTCCCTATCTTCAAATCCCAGACCCACCATTTACTATTATTTATCTTTGGGAATCTTTCCATGTCTATGCCTCAGTTTCTCACCAAATAACCTTCACCAAATTTGAGGATGACATAATATACATAGTAAGTGACCTGTAAATCATTACACTTTGTTCACTCAGCAGAAAAAAAGCTGGCTAGCCATCTGGATGCCTTTGCCTTCTCCAGAATTGTAGTGGTATGCTAGGTGTTACGGTATATATGTGCATCAGGAACATATTTCTTTTCTGAAGATACTCTCAGTGAATATTCTGGAGTTCAGTGGTGCTGAAGAGTTTTGCAAGGCAAAATCTGATGGTTAAATGCCATTATGATTGGAATTTCAAGTAGTAATAATATTACTGCTGACCACATTTAAATTTCATTATGTAGGTGAAACACTCCTTAGGACCTGGAGCTCCCTTCACTGCTGGATTTTAAAAGGCAATCAAATTCAGTGTTTCTTAAGGCACACATAAAGTCAGGGCAAATTTATTTGTAAAACTGCAGAAAGACAAATACAAATACCAACAATTCAGAGCATTTGTGGAATGGTTAGGTTTTTCTGGACCATCCCTTTCCCCTTTCTAGACAGTAATTCAGTCACTTAGACAAATCTCTTCCAGTGTATGTTAGAGAAGCACACTAGGACTGGAGCAAGACAAACAGGTTCCATAAATGAGAGAGAGAGAGTTGCTAGAATGAGACCCCATAGCAACCTTAACTGCAATTATCAGCCGGGTTTTACAGAGAGACTGTACATTTATCTGTGAAAATTAGTGTGTCCCTCGGCTAATACCCCCTATTTTGGTCTGAGATTCTGCAATGATAATACTTATGCTTGTAACTAACTTTGCTAAGCTTACAAACCTTAAGAAAACCACTTTCATATGATGTTTGTGACTTTTTTTTTCTCTAGCTCTAGCAAGTTTTAGCATGGGCATATCTGCAAATTTCCAGTCCCATGGGCTTGGAATCTCTGGCTTCTGCTCTACAGACTCCTTTACCTACTGCATAGCCTTGTAGCTATCTCTGTGGCGAGGCAGGGCCTCTCCTGGCACGGAAACCTGCCAGGTGAATCCGCCCCATAGGGGCGTGCCTGTACCATTTCCTGGAGCAATCTCACAGGGTGGCTCCACTTTTCATTTGAGCTCAAATACTTTGCTGCCTCCTCTGCAGCTGCCAGACCTGCTTCTGCTGCTGCTCAGGTAACTCATCTCTGCCTGGCACGACTCTGGGCAGAGGAGGTTGATAAATGGCTTGAGTACATGTTCCTGCCTGCCTATACTTTTCTTTCATTGTCTCTCTTTGTTTGTTCCTCAGGGAGAGCATCTGGGGAGTCCCTTGCTGACCATTGAGAAGATGATGAGCTCAAGCTATTGGAGTGAGACCAGCAGCAGCAGCTGTGGGACTCAGCAACCCCTAGAGGTGCTGCAGTGCCAGCCCCAGCATTACCACTGCTACCACCAGTCAAGCCAACCTCAGCAGCTTCCAGAAAAAAATGTAGTATACGAGCGAGTGAGGACCTACAGTGGGCCCATGAACAAGGTGGTGCAGGCCTTGGACCCCATCAGCTCACGAGAAGTGCTCTCCCCTCTCAAAGCTGCCTCCTCCTATCAAAACTTGGTTTGGAGCGACCATTCCCAGGTATCATAAAGACAGCTGTGCTAGGCTAATACAGGGAGTAGATCTTGAATCTCATCTCTCTTCTTTCTGCTTCTTTCTCTCTGTTGTACATGATATCTTTTGGTGGATCGCAGTACTGGACAGTAAGCTAAATTCAGTTTCATGCCTATAGTCATTTCTTCATGATTTCTTATGATTTTCATGATTTAACTAGAGCCTAGGAAGCCCCGTTTTCCACTGGATTTGATTGAAAGATCTTAACGGAGGTATTTTTGTTCCCTACTGTAAAACATTCCTCAATTCAAATACAGTAGGTTCTTTCCTTCCTTTCTTAAGAACAGGTTTCCACTGATTCCCTTTATATAAGAAGCAAACAGATATCTTGTACCTAATATGGTAGTACAGGGACAAATTGCATGTATGGAGTGACGAGCAGGTATTTGTGTTCAGCAAATAGTGTGTTGCTCTAGGATAAGTAACAGGTGCAGATGTCTGTTTCAATTGCCATTTGTGTTTCATCTTCTGAAAATGATCAATTACTGTATTATTAGGTAAATATTTTTGGAATATTGGTAGAAGATGTACTTAAAGAGTAGTATAGGACTTAGGAAGGTGAAATGGAAACAATAGTTATATGTAAGCTACAAAAGATGGAACTCTTAAAACACCCTTTAAACTGGAATTAAATCTTTAAGTTTTTTTTTTAGAATCAATACCTGTACTAACAATCTTGCCAATAAATGAAAAGTAACATTGCAAGAGTATATAAAATGAACAGTTTTAGATCTATTTCACTTTCTGATTCTGCATTAAATTTTCATGTCAAGAAAGAAAAGAAAAATAGTGACTTTTTAAAATTTAACATTGCATTTTGTTTTGTTTTGTGCAGACTGGGAAACTCCTCTTGTAACTAAATCCATATCACTTAAAAGGCAATTGCTATAATGTCATGATTTTTATATATAGCATGTATAATCTTAAAATTCATTTGTTTTCCAAAAACAAATATTACATTATGAAAAATTTCTTGTCTTTAAGTTCTCTAGAAACTTTTATCCAAACTTAAATTGTATTTCCAACATAGAATTTCTACTGTAAATATCTCAAAGTGAAACCATTGGGATACTGTCCTATGTTATGTTATTATACTAGTTGGGGATAATATGGGTTATTTTTCCAAAAACTGAAATATTAAGTAGGATATGAAATGGCATTCTAATATTCATAATGAAACTATTTGAAGGGTATTTTCAAAGATATAGATAACCCTAAAACCCCAAATGCCAAAATTTTGCTTTTATTTCACTCCTTGCATGATTTTAGCATAAAACATGAAAAAAAAATCAAAGATTTACTATTGGGAATTTACTGATTGAGAAAAACTACAGCTGTATTGATATCAAGGGAAGAAAAATGTTATGATCAAAACTACTAGTTTGTATAAGTGATAATAATGCAAATGTACATTCCAACATTCAGTGTTGGGATGATAATGCCTGACTATGTGGGTGTCACCTTTGGTTCCTAGTAGCCCCAAAAGAATGTGAAGGCTGAAAACAATTACTATTATCATAGGAATGCTAAAATCATTGTATTTTTCATAGCTATTTTAACACATTTAACTTCTTCTTGTCAACTTGCTAGTTTAAAAAAGAAAATAAATAGATATGCATTTAAAAGCTGAAACAGTAAATTATAAATATTGACTACTGAATAACCTTTCAAGATCATGCTTTTTTATTTGCTCCATAGTTCAACTTTTTCTTTTAATAATCCCTGGGACCAGGCTTTGAACAGGTGAAGCTTTTTGCAGGACTTTCCCTCTTTTACCTGAAATTAGACAGAGATCCTTACAAGATCATCCTAAAGTGGAATTTCCCATAGAGGAATTTATAAAGACCCTTAGGGACAGAAAGTATGGCCAAAGAAACTAGGATAAAAGATCAGAACGCAGGATATTGTGAAGTCTGAGATTATTTTCATGATAGTAAAGAAAGAAAAATAAGGGCTTGTGCACTAAAATGCTGTTTGTAGATACAAACATTTTAAATTTGTCCAGATACATAAACTTACTTTGTTTCTTGTCTATAATTGATCAGATGTATTTCATGGTTTTCTTGGTAATTATTTTGTCTGATTGATGGGTGTTTCTTGTAGAAGATTAGCTATAGAAATCTTGCTGGTGACGTTGTCTAAACTAATGGTAGAATTGAAATGACTGAGTTTACCAATATGAGCAAGTAAAATCAAACACAGGTGTAAAATCAAACACAGATGGCCTTTTAGAACTGAATGTGGTCTTGTAAATAAATAGATTGCTAGAAGCTACTGGAAACAAAAGAAAACAAACAAACAAGCAAAAAACCCTTACAGTTCAATCTTTAATAAGGCTTAAATATTAACTTACTATCATTAAATGAAATACTGCCTTAAATGAACAGCACATCTGTGAACTAATCATTGGATTTCTATTTTTTCCTTCCATTAGTTTTAGTTTTCATGGAGTTCAAGATATTTTGCATTTGTACAGAAAAACTCAGTTGTAAAGGGAAAGGGTTTGTGTGTGTGTGCATGTATGTGTGCGAGAGAGAGAGAGAGAGAGAGAGAGAGAGAAGGATCAAATAAAATATTTTAATTTTAGTACTAGTCATTTGTTGAACTGCTGATCAAGTGACCATTTTGTAGGTAAATATTTTGTAGTTTTCTGGATAAATACAATTTGCCTGTCCACTCTGAGGACAAGCAGAGTCTGGCACATATGTCTATATTTCATTTTAAAAGATTTTTTGTGGTAATCAGTATTTTTTGAAAAACAAGGTTTGGCACAAGAAGGGATTTCTTAATGTTCATCTTATAAGGGTTGCTATTCTTTTAAATTTGAAAATCGCAACCAAATCTAATGCTGAAAAACAGCCTAGAGGAAAATATGTGTTTATGAATATGAATGTCCTCTACTCTCAATAATTATTCGGTTGGTGCTTACCTTTGTTTACCTTTTTTTTTTTTTTTTACTTTTCTTTGGTTACAAAGATTGTGGATAGCTCCCCTACTGTGCCAGGATTTCTGTACACTATGCGAAAATCTTCCTGTTCTGTGGGGAGGGGTATGTTCCTTTAAAAAGTTGTTGTTCAAGGGTGTGGTCACTAAAGTGAATGATTGTTCAGGGAAGTGGTTTGCCTGAAAAAAGAATGAGGTCATAGGATAAAGTGGCCAGCGTTTTCAGCTTCTGTCATCCTTTTTGTCTTACAATTGAATGAAGCTATAGAAATTGTGAATGCAACGAATTGCTGGATGAAAATGCCCATAGAATTTGTTTTTTTTTTTATATTTATTTATTTATTTGAAAGTCTGAATTACACAGAGAGAGGAGAGGCAGAGAGAGAGAGGTCTTCCATCTGCTGGTTCACTCCCCAATTGGCCACAACAAATGGAGCTGTGCCGATCTGAAGCCAGGAGCCAGGAGCTTCTTCCAGGTTTCCCACGTGTGTGCAGGGGCCCAAGTCCATCTTCCACTGCTTTCCCAGGCCATAGCAGAGAGCTGGATCGGAAGTTGAGCAGCCAGGACTCGAACCAGTGTCCATACGGGATGCCAGCACTACAGGTGGCAGCTTTACCCGCTACACCACAGCGCTGGCCCTGCCCATAGCATTTGTATAAGGGAGGTCTGATAATAAATTACTAGGCCTATTTTCAGTCAATGGAATTTGCAAGCTGTCATTGTGCGTATGTATGTGCATGCACACACCTTTGCATGTGTTTGAGAGAGAGGGATGAGGGGACAGTGGGAAGAGAGGATAATTTTCAACTGTCCTGGTCCAAATTTCTTTTCTCGACAATTTATGTTAAAAGAACTGGGAGCCATGATCTTAAACTTCACTTAAAAGTTAAAACTTTTCTAAACAAGTATATTTGGGCCAAATGTTTTTCACTTCAAAAGCTATCCCAATAGAGGTCCTTTTTTGACTTCATGGAATTCAGAGATAAGTTTATTTTGGTGCAGAAAATTGAGATCCATGCATAATTTTGAAGACCTGTCATATGTCTCGATTTCATTTTTTTAATTCATCTTTTAATTTTATTTTTTACAAACATTTTATAGTAGTCTTTACACTTACAGTTTTTTACTTTTTTTAAGGGGCTAGAGTCTTGCTATGTGGCCATGGAGTTATTTATTTTCATCGTATTTGAGAGAGAGAGAATCTTACATCTGTTGGTTCAATCCTCAAATGCCCACAATAGCAGAGGCTGTGGCATATGGAAGCCAGTAGCCTGGAATTCAAACTGGTTTGGAATCAAAAGCAGAGCCAGGTCTGGAACCCAGGCACCTTCATACGGGTGCCAGTGTCCCAGGTGGTGGCTTAATTACTGCACCAAATGTCTGCCCCTATTTCCAGTTTTTAAAAACAGAGCGCATGTACTGCAAGGAGACTGCAAGTCTTATTTCTTCTCTGTCTCATAATTCCCTTCAAAAACAAAAACAAAAAACCATGAGCCCCTTAAATGAGGGCTTACTAGTACATTCTATTGTTTCCTTTACATGAAAACAAAATCGCAGACTTTATTCTAAATGATGGAAGTATTTGCTTCACCTAAAGAAAGACCATTATAATTTGTGTATTTCTTGCTGTGTAAAGTTCAGAATAACACGCCAACCATAGACTAAGGCAAGGGTGTAACCATGTAACCAAAGTAGCTTCCATACTACTCAGGGATTTTATCCAAGTGATAGTTTCCCTTGGCAAATTCTTTCAGCATAAATGTCAAGAAGTTTTTAAAAATATTCTCTTTTTGAACTTCTTACCTAAACTGTTCCCAACATTACTTTCAGTGATTCTCATAGTCATTGGGACTGACAGGAACATCCACAAGACTCCCCTTGTCGTCCTTCTTAGAAATTTGTACTATGTATTAGTCTTGAAGTAAACTTTTTAAATTCAAATTAAACAACATGAAAGAGTTCCATGTTCATTTCAACAAGTTTTCAAATATTTAGAGAACAAAGTCCTATACTACCCATGCAT